CAGCAGGACGAGGAATTAGGAGGTATTTCTGTTCTGGGGGTCAGGGAGAGAGCATTGCATGAGCCTAGGTCTGCAGGAGTTGATCAGGAGATGTCCAGAGATTATCTATAATATTGTGTTTCCATTTGAATTTCTGACACTTGGCCGAGGGACTTTTGCTGTCAGGAGGCCAAAGCAGTCTTGTTTCAGGAGCACAGCAGCAACATTGATTTGCTGGGATTTGCAGTGAGGTCATGAAGGGGAGATGAGAGTGAAACACACACTCAGAAAGGAAAGGCTTTGGGTGAAAAGAAGTCTCCATATTTTAATTGACCCAGCAGACAGCACCCGAGAGCCCAGAGGAAAAGCCAAAGTACCCAGTTCCCTGCAGATACAAATTTCATGAGTCATAGCATAATAATAAAATGCCCTCGTATTTTTATTTATAGAACACCGAGCCTGGGAGCTGCCTGGGAGCTGCAAGTTGTTGAACAAAATATCATTAAAGAGTCTGAGGTGTCTTTTTTCCTCTCTGCTGTGAGGCCCTGCTAATTCTGAGCAGGGATCACCAGGAGGAACAACCCATTCAACACACAAAGCACAGCTCCTTTCTAGTCCCAGTGCATTAGTATCTGTTATGATTTTCCCCTTATTATTTCTGTTAAAGAACTGTCTTTTAGGGGAAAAAATAATAAAATCTTCTGGTCTTTGTTGATATATCTTTACTACAGGTATTGCTGAGTTTAGCAGTGAAATATGAAATTAATTTGGATCAGAGTTTTGATGTTACTTTGTGTATCTATTTCTTAGCATCTTGCCTATAGCTCATTCCTTCTCTCATCTCTTTTTTATTGTTGTCATGTATCAGGATTTTCACTCAGAAGCTGAGGAGAAAAGAGTATTTACTTGAAATAGCAACTAAGCAACTAAGCCTTGCAGGAGAAGCATTTAATAAATGGAGTTCACATCTTCTGTCAGGTGGACTACCAATCCCAGGACTAGACAATAATCCCCTCATCTTACCCAGAAAAGCCATGTAAAATTGTCTGAAAGCAGCAGCAGGGCTCAGATGAAATTTGTTCCATTTAGAATTCCCTAAATTTCACTGTGGATTTATTGGGATGTGGGTTTTTTTTGTAAGTGATTGATTCCATGGGTGCTACCTTACCTGCTGCACCAGCTTGGTTTTTGTCCTGGGCATTTTCCTGTCATTGTAGCTGACTGACCCACCCCACCTGACTTCAGACCCCTTGAGGGTGATGTCCTGTTACTGCCACACATTTCATAACCATCTAAAACCAGAGAGAAACTGGTCAGGAATTCAGTTAATTGATGTATCTTTGGAGGTCCCTTTCAACCCCTAATATTCTGTAATTCTGTGACTCAGGCAGAGGAGGCAGCAGATGAGGCTGGATGTGTTTAAAGAGCAGATTCAGGCATTGAGGTGCTGAGGTGACACCCAGGTGGGTTCAGGTCAGCTCTGTGCTCCTCCATCAGGCTCTTCCCAGACCCTTAGGGAGTGGGGGGAAATGCAGTGAAATAGCAAGATGATGAGCTCTGGTGGCTTGGGGGAATAAGCATCACCTGAGAGATGGTGCAAAATGTGCCCACATGGAGGTGCTGTGTAAGTAACTCCAGGGTGTAAATAACTAGTAATACGTGTTCTCTGCTTCTACCAGTTGGAAATAAATACTTTGTGCAATTGCTGTTTGCTGCTGAAGGGAATGGTGGGATAGAAGGTGCCACGAGATGTCTCAGTGTGTTGCTTTCCATTTGTTGGCTCCCAGGATTTATCTGGAAGCCTCCAAACATGCATAAGCATTTAGTGTGTTTTCTGCTTTTCCACTGTCACTTGATTTCCTCCCCTTCCAGTGAGCCCTGGCATGCAAAGAGATGTTTGTTCTTAAAATAAAAAGCCAGACTGAAGCTGCCATGGCTGCGAGGAACCTGTTTAGTCAGAAACATCTTTAGATTATTTTTTTTCCTCTTTTGGCCTGTATTACTTAGAAGTTGTTGCAAATCCTTGCAACAAAAACAAGGTGGGTGCTTGCTTGTCAGCTCAGATGAACACGGATCTGCTGCAGAGCAACAGGCACTGCTCACAGCTGCTGTAGGAAGGGACTCCTTTTATGCTGCCTCCTTCAGCAGATAAATTAAAGCTGCAGATAAAGCAACATCCTTGAAAGATACTCCTTTCCTAACCAAGTTGTAAGCTGCAAACTCTGCTCCCTTGGTCTCTGCTCTGCCAAGCTGCTGTGTTAGTGCCTTTCCCTTTCAGCCCCCAGATGATGTTAATGACAGTTGTGCTGAGATGACAAAGGGAGATGCTTTTGAGCAGCACGGGGCTGTTCCTTGCACAGACACAATGCAGAGCCTCTCATTTCCTGGTCACCTGGCAAAATCCCCTCTCAGTGAGAAAGGCTGAGATGCAGCCCTTTTAAAGTGCACCATTATCAGCTGAACTGGACCCAAAGTTATGACAAAATATTTAACTCCATCAAAGACATTGACATCCATCAAGGTGCCTCAGGTCAGACCCAAGGAAGAAGAAATGCTCTCACAGCTCAGCAGAGCTGGCTGCTCACCAGTTCTAATTGTGAAAGTTGCTTTCTAAGTATTTTCTTTAGATTAATGAGTTATTTAAATGATTGCAAGTCTGCTCACATTTGAGTGTTGGTGAGTGTTCTCATCAGGGGCATCTTCACATCCTTCTCTCAGGCTGATGATTAGATTAGCTTCCCATAACAGATTTCTAGACAAAACCATTAGAAAGCAGAAGCAGCTCTGAGGGAATCTTAACTCCTCTTTTTCTAGTAAAACTTGATGTTCTTCTCTTCAAAATCATTTTTTTAAAAAGGAAAAAGCAGCTCCCTCAAGTAGCAAATCCAACACACTCTCTCTGGATAAGCAAAGCTCCCAACAGCCTCCATCCCTGATGTGTGTATTTCTTGCTGTGCTTGCTTGGGGGATGTTCTGTTTTTCTGACTTTTCCCTGCTGAAACAACAACAACAAAATGTTGTTCTGATGCAATGGAAAGAATTCATCATAAAGGCCAGGAGGGGGAAAATCTGGTGCACTTATGTCAGAGTTCTTTCCTGCCCAAAATATTTCTGCCAATTTGTTTTCAACATGACTTTTCCCTATAAACCTTTGTTGGCCCCAGTTGGAGGTAAATGATAATTGGTCTCCCTATGGGTATATTTTAAATTAAAATAAGAAGCAAACACACTCTTTTACATTTGTCTTAAAGTCAAATGCAAACCTTGTTTACTCACAGCCCTTGGGGCAGTACACATGGTGATATGGAAGCTTCTTCATGTCCCACGTGCACACAGCTAAGCAGAGTGGACTTTGCATTATTGTCAGGAGCTTGGTTGGACCTCATCTGTTCTGTGGCTGCAGACTCAGGTCCTTGCCCTGATCTGACTGGGCAAGTGGAACATCAAGCTTATCCCATGTCCCAGGAGACTCTTTTAGCCCAAGGATCAAAATCATAAAAGGTTAGGGGTTGGAAGGGCCCCTGCTCAAGCTGTGCCACCCAGAGTAGATGGCACAGGATGGTGTCCAGGTGGGTTTTGAACATCTCCAGAGAAGGAGACTCCACAATCTTTCTGGGCAGCCTGTCCCAGTGCTCTGACACCCTCAGAGTAAACACGTTTTTCCTCATGTTCAGGTGGAACTTCCTATGTTGCAGTTTGTGCCCATTGCCCCTCATCACTGGGCACCACTGGATTCAGTCTGGTCCCACCCTCTCAACAGCTGCCCTTTAGGTATTGATCAGCATTGGTAAGATCCCCTCCCAGTCTGCTCTTCTCCAGGCTCACAAGAGAGGTGCTCCAGTCCCTTCCTTATCCTTGCAGCCCTCCAAATAGTTCCTTGTCTTCCTTGTACTAGGGGTCCTTTAGACTGTTGGAGGTTATTTTGCTCCTTTAAAATTCTCTTTTCCATGTGTATTTG